TCTCCAGGAAAGCAGGGTTCCGTCACGCGTAATGGTGCCTTGGGAAGACAGGCACAATCACTCCGAATGTCCACTCCCCTTCCTCCTTCTTCCCCTAGCTTTATATGCTGAGCATGATGTCATATGGACTGGAATAGCCCTTTGGCCAGTTTGGATCAGCTGTCCTGGCCGTGCCCCCTCCCAGCTTATTGTGCACCTGGCAGAGCATGGGAAGCTGAAAAATTCCTCGCCTAGTGTAAGCTCTGCTCAGCAACAATGAAAACATCAGGGTGGTTATCAACATTCTTCTTGTCCTAAATCCAAAACACAGCACTATACCAGCTGCCAGGAAGAAAATTAACTCTGTCCCAGCCAAAACCAAGACACTGCTAAAGAACATCAATAAGAACTTTAAAAACAGATTAAAAACAAACCCCAAAACACTTAATGCTCTTAAGTCTTTGATTGTGCTGTCAAGGCAATGTACTGTGGCAGTTTTGTCTTGGATGCACCATTCTCTCTGGGAAAGTAGAGCACAGCATTTGAGGGAACTCCGGCTGGTATCAAGGACATCATTTCTCTGATGTCCGTGCAGCTGTGCCTATGCGTGCCTGTTGGAAGTTGTGCTTTTTAAGTTGATCTGTCACATGGATCTGACAGCAAAAATGTGTTGCCAATGACTTTATTTGCTTGCTGTCCATTAATGAGTCTAGTGGAAGTAAAGCGCCTGGGCTGAGCATGCCATGATCTGCTTTCACCAGCGTTCACAGTCGTCAGCACCTCTCTGGGCTGCCGTTGAGCTGCTGGGATGCATTACTGCAAATTACTGAAGGACTTGCATAGTCTTCAGGTGCTGCTGTGGGCTTGGGAGATTCTAGCTCCAGTTTTATCTAAATGCTGGCAACCTGCCATGTGTTTGCGTGCACTTTGCTGCAGAAGGTTAGAGGATGACCCTGAAAGCCCTTCAGCTGTTTCTTGCTTGGAGCTGAGCTGGGGAGGTAACGTCACCCGAGATGCACTCTTGCACGAGGGACTGGATCATTTGATGGGTTTCTTCTGAAGGCCCGTGAGTGGGATGGAGCTGCACAGCTTCTGGGCCGTGCCACTGAGAGCGTCAAGCGTTCAAAGCATCTCCGGTAGAGGCGAGCTCTAACTGGGAACCAGAGGCTCCTGGTTCAAAGAAAGCTGGGCAAGGATTGTCACGAGGGAAGGTGTTTCTGCCCATCTGGATGCAAAGACTGCAGCAGGCTGGCCGCGTGTCATTGTCCGTGCCAAGACAGGCAGGAAGGAACCACCTTGTCCCGCTCATGCGTGCGTGGAGCTGGTCAGCTGCAGAGGAGAAGCCCTCCTGGTCTCTCTGCCAGGCATGGAGTAGCCCCCTCTCTGTCTGCTGGGATGGATGCGTTATGGTACCCCCAAATACACCACTGGAATGGGGTTGCCTGCAGGACTCCCCCTCTGGGTTGGGAGCTGAAAGAAAATACACTTGAGCTTGCAATAGCATTTCTAGAAACTTGCTGATGCACGGCATTTGTCCCCAGATTTCTCAGCCTCTAACCAGCCTGTGAAATGTCAGAAACCTGGACAGAGCTCCTAGTTTTACAAATGGGGAACAGAAAATTTCGTTTGCTTCTAATATCTCCCTGCACGAGGAGTGCAAGATGGGCAGCAGCTTTTTTGGCTGTGTTAGGCCATCAGACTGGCCATAATCGGCATGTTTTATGCTTCTACATGGGCTCCTGGCCACCTGTATAATGTCCA